CCTTCCCGCCACAAGTGGCACCAAACCATTGCCAGCGGGGGCTCGCAGGTAAAGCAGCACGTGCATTCAGACGGCGTTTCACTTTGTTCACCTGAAAGGCATTTTACATTCATATGTGATCTTCCTGTAATGCCCTTGTCGTTGGCAGGCTGGCGTTCCTTGCTTTGGAGTATCCCAGCTTCCTCTTGAGCAGCAAGAACGTCCTGGGGAAGTTTCAAATGGCTCGACGCCACATTTCATCTGCTGGCTTCCTCCTGGTCGAGGTAACGTGCGATTGATAATTGGTTTTTTACCCTTCTATCTGGCAACAAAACTGACACCTTTTTTACATGGAGTCATGTTTGCATAGACCACAATACCTGCAGTCATAATGCAAACAAAAAACATAACTCTGATAATATATGCACTGTCCTTGAAGTTGATTGGTCCACACCCGAGACAGCTTTCCTTAGAGCCTAGTCTCACATGGGTTGGACCAGATGACGCCAAGAGGCGCACAATTCAAAGACAATGCACCATCAGAGTATGAGAGCTCGGGGTAAGCATTTACACCATTGGAACCTCATTTGTCAGTAAAAAATATGATAATTGTTTTTTACCCTTCTATCTGGCAACAAAAATGACACCTTTTTTACAAGGAGTCATGTTTGCATAGACCACAATACCTGCAGTCATAATGCAAACAAAAAAACATAACTCTGATAATTTATGCACTGTCCTAAAAAAGGTGTCAGTTTTGTTGCCAGATAGAAGAGTAAAAAAACAATTATCATATTTTTTACTGGCAAATGAGGTTCCAATGGTGTTGACGTGCAATTGTCAGACCCCACATCTGTCCCGTGTTGTTTGGCCCTTTTGTAAGCTTAGCCCCGGGGGGCCATAGGTCAATCCACTGCTTGGCCCTGGGCAGTGCATAATCCGTACTGGATCAACCTCAACGCTCACGAACCATCCCTGACTGATCGCTGATCCGCAGCTATGCCGTAATGGTCAGCACGTCCAACTTGCAATCTAGAGGATGCTGGTCTGATTTGATCTTCTGGCGCGGCAGTTGAAGCCATGGGCAAGTTTTGAAGGCATCTTGCCAGCGTTGAAGTGTCAGCCAAAAGATCCATCTAGAGTAGAGAGGCTCTCTAAAGCTCCTTGGAGGCTGTTCTGTAAAGGCAGTGGTGTGAGCAGTGATTTGCTGGGATGCACATTTTATTTTTTACGAAAGATTTTTTACAGAATAGAGTATAAAAAAATAAAACTAGCCGAAATTACCCCACATCTTGCTTATCTTATTTTCATGTCCGATGTTACGCGTGCTGTGGTTGTTACAGATCCCATACTTTGAATGGTTGGAGCTCAACTCGGACCGGGTGAAAGTTTCCTATCTCAAGGATAAGATCAGCAAAGCGATTGCCGAGGACATGGCCAAATAAAGAAGTGCTGCACTGAGAATACAGTTTGAGTTTGTTTTTGGTTTTAGATCTGCTGGATGATGGGTAAATTATTATTGGTTCTTATTTTAGTTTTGCATCGGGTAAAGAAAAAGGCACACGACCAACCACATTCTCTCGTCTTGAGTGGTCCTGTCAGGGACATAGGAGTAGAGAAATTAGAGTCCTCTTTAAGAGCTTAAATATGCCGAGCATATTTGCAGTTTCAGCCCCCCCCCCTCCATGTAAGGTAGGCGAAGTGGTCGATGAGGGCGACTGGGAGAAGTCGTGTAGCGAACCAGACAAGGGCACACACTTTGCCTTGAATTGGGTGCGAATGCTTCGTTGATAACAGAAGTTGCCCTTGGTAATCTGTTCAGAAGAAGATGTTGTTGTGCACGAGTGAAACCAACTTAACTAGGCTAAAGCCTTTCAGATTTGTGTTCATGTATACTGGTTTTGTCAACGCGGGTATTTAAACAAGACGTGTGGCACAATCGCCATCATCTTCGGTCAAGGTCTATCCACTGCTGAATGACGGCCACCACATGTTGCCGCCATAACCTCATCTCACTCCCACACCATTTGAGCTCATTGCTGCCATTCCATCGCGAGTCTCCTCCAGCAGTGTGTCTTGCCTGATGCAACTTCTCGGCGGTTGAGGCAATTCCTCTGCTGAATCCACGTGCTCCTGTTCCTGTGTCTCGGCGCAATTCTGAGAATGCATCTCCGCGTTTATGTGCACAATTTTAGCCTTTTGTTCATTACGTTTAAAATGTTCTCCGCTCCTAACGACAAGTTCACTCAGTGTTATCCTCTATGCCCCCTCCCCTCCTCCCCGATTAAAGTGATACTGATTTGCCACGTCTAAAATGTTCCAGTCAATTAGGCTTTACATGGCTAATGGAGCTCAATTTATCACTTACGTCATTGCATTTTTTTAAGGATCATGGGTATCAGGTGCAAATTATACACGACGCTTGCATGGCAAGTAAATCAGTGATTGATATAAATTTCTGCTGTGGATGTCAGCCAGGTCTGGTTGTGAGGATTGTACATTATTCCTGGTCAGTTCTGCTTTGGGAATGCTGTGTAGTATATATATGTACAACTGCATTTATTGCGTAAGGAAATATTGTGCACATATAACCTCTGTGGGAAAAGAAAAATATCAAGAAATATAAAATAAACATGTATTTGTTTTTAGTCAATTGTGTATGGTGTGCTTATGTTATTTCAACAATCTATTTTATCTATTGCTGTCTATGTATGTTGAACTTTGAACCGTACGTAGCCAACCGTGCTAATTGAAGGTGCGGGGGAAGGACAACAAACTAAAACACAAAGCAGGTAAGAAATTAGTTTTCAATCAAGATTTAAAAGTGCGTAGCTCCAGTGGCTTCCTCGTACCAGAAGGAAGAGCATTCCAGACGGCTGGGGAAGCGTATCTGAAAGCGTGCGATGCGGTGCCCGTCTTTGTTCGATGGCCAGCCAAAAGCCGCCGCTGCGAGGATGACCAGAGTTTGCACCTTGAGACCAGCAAATGTATTGTGATTCATTTGTGGCAAGCACTTTGTTTGGAATGAGTGCGACCCTATAAACACATTCCTGCGGAGGGAGCTGGTAGGAACGTTGGGTTGCTCGGTCAATGGCCAGGGTCAATGGCGGCGTGGTGTATTCCGCAAATATGGCCGACTGTGAGGGCGGGCACAAGCCGGCGTGAGTAGGTTAAACGTTGAGTTTTATAAGGGCACCACGGGGTGGCCAGCCCCTCCCCACCCAGCTCCACCCCTCCTACCTCCCACCCAGCCTCACCCTCCCTACCCAGCCCCTCCCTCTCCACCCAGCCCCTCCCTGTACGACGGACGGACAGAATAATCCCCTGTGGGCTGGTGTAACCAGGAGGTTCCTCCCAGTAATAATGTCTACTGGATATAATCATGGAATAGCATGGTTGACATTCTTTGTAATGTCAGTGACTGAGGACGGGAAGTGTGGGCGATTTACATTCTCATTTGTCAATTTCCATGACATTCTGGCAATCTGCTGACAATCTGTGCCCCCCCCCCCCCCCCAATATGCCCCCTGCGACTGAACCCTCTCTCCCCTGTCACCTTCCGCTTGCATAACTGGGGCTCGGGCGGTAGTTTCATCACCCTTTGCTTTAAATCTTCCAAAATTAGAGAAAGTATAATTAACCCCCGGTGGATCGGTTGACACCATTCGCAATTCAACAAAAAATGTGCGTGTCAATGGGGCACTTTCATTTTTGGAATAGATTACGGCAATGGAGCCAATGTGCGAGCCAGGAGAGAAGCAACGCCGGCGCTGTTTTGTGTGGAGGGGGCCACCGGTTACACGAGCTCACAAGCCGGCCCCACACGCGACGTGGCAATGAACGACGACGAAAACAACAACAGCAGGTCCACAGCCAGGATTTGCAATGAGCTCAGATTCCACGGCGGCGGGATGGAACACGTTGAGAGGGAGGCGTCGTCGCGCGGGATTTGCCCCGCCGAGTTTCAAGTCTTAGGAGGGGAAGTCCTGCACCGCTGGGATGTTTGACCAGCGCCGAAGAGAGGACGTTTGGTGTGGAAGGAGAATTGAGAGTATCTGGATATAGCCAGCTAATTAGTGGGTGGTAAATCAATATAGATCGGCTTATAACCCAACTTTCTGGACTGTGATCTGTCTATCTCAGAATTATGCAGGTTAAGAGTCGTACAAGGTTATGCATCATCCGCCAAAATAAAATGATTCTCGTTATTACTGGCGCAGTGCTAATTGGGAACGTGTTTCGGTGACTTATGAAGTCAATTTCGGAGCAAAACTAACGCTTTGTACCTGATGGCTTCTATAAGTGCAATTTCTCGTACAAAGTAACATCGTAAATGTTGTTACATCTTGATTTGAAGCTTTCGTGACTGCAGGAATCCATACGCTTTGGTTCTTTCGGTAAAGTCACGTAGATAGAAAATCAATAGATCACGACATTTCGATCGCAACACAAGCAACCGTCATCAGGTGAAACAAACAGCATGTTATGAATGTTACATTTTATTTATTTCAATGCTGTGGTCGTTCTGTGGCTGGAATAATCCTGCAATATTGGAATGTGGAATTTCCACAACTAACGGCCACCAGCGGGCACGAGCGCTTTCCCCTTTGCTTGTTGGGGCAGGGAGACAATGACGATTTATTTTTTCAACTGGAATAAAATTCACCCAAAGGTCAGGATTTTTTTTTTGCCAAATCATCATTCAAGGCGGGCACGCATGTGGCTGATGAGCAATAACTCCACGTCCGTATTATTTACACGCCGCTCTTAATTTTGAAGAGAGGAGAAAAAAAAACCGGCGCACAGAGACGCACTGTGGATGCGATGTTTGCGCGCGCGCACGCACATGTGCGAATGATTTGTCGGGCTACGGTTACCCTGCCGAGTTGGGCATGTGTGGCGGCGGACGGGGATGAATCCGCGCGTTTAATGAGTCGCCCTTGGCCACTCGTTAACACCACGCGCCCATGATGGGGGGGGGGGGGGGTGGAGGCACCGTCCCCATATATCGCGGCGCAGCCTCGGACCCAGACCACTGACGGAGCGCCGGGTTCCTGCGGTGGCTCCAGCGCGAGGCTGCGCGGTCGTGGGTGGCTCGGGGAGTTCGGCAAAAAAGAACAAGTTTAGTCGTCAACAAAAATATTCACCGTCGTCAATATCATCGCCCGTTGTCTGTTCACCGCTGGATGAGACCCCGTCGGCGACATTCACGCTCCAGTGCTGCTGCCATTCCCACAGGGCTTGCTTGACAATACTCCACCAGGCGGGCTCGTGAAGGGAGTTTTAATGTCCACTTAGATCGGTAAGGATTTATTTATTTTGTGCCATTAGCTTCGCCTGCAACTTGACCTGCAACGCTGAACGATTCGTCTTCGTTCATCGGCAGTGCTCAAGCACGGGTCGCGAGTTCGATGGTTGCGTAAGGCAGCTGGCGTGAGTCCTCCCCTAAACACGGCACAAGCACGTGCCCTCGAGCACCCGTCTGACCAACCAGCTCCTCCGGCACGATGGACGCTCTGCGCGCCGCAGGGGTGCAGGTCACGGTGCTATTACAGGACTGGCTCGAGGGCATCCACGAGGTGATGCACCTCATGTCCAGCCTGGGCGACATCCGCAGCGCCTACTTGCTCTACTTCCCCATCTGCTACCACCTGGCGCCACGGATCGCCGCAAGGCTGGTGTGGGCTGCCGTGGTCGGAGACTGGATCAACATGATTCTCAAGTGGTGAGACGCGGTTTTGCGGTTTTCGCCAATTTGGCAGCCGTTTCTTGGGAAGGGGGCTTGGGGCGGAGGCGGCCGGGTAAGCGAGCACGCAGCCCCTCCAAGGGTTCGTCGACTCAAAATCTCGGCTACGTTGGTCGGGAGAGCCACAGTGCAAAATAAGTACGAGCCTATGTATGTTTGTGCCCTATACACTAAAAAAATAGCCATCGCACCATGACGTGTAAAATAGATTTATAGCTCGTCGGATTCCTCCAAAAAAAAAAAAATATTCTGATTCTGTCAACCAGTACCGGATTATCCTAGTAGCAAAAGTAGCTACATGTGTAGTTGATACGAGGCCCGCACTTTCAATGGCCCCGCGCTAAATGCTTTCAAGCTATCAATTCCGGTTCAGTGATTCTGCACTTGCTCTATTGCTATAGTACTGTACTGCCTTCACACTTTATGAATGACTGTGTGTTTAAGGTTTAGCGATTTGTCGTATTATCCGGCTGTATAGCAAATGAAAAAATACAATTACTTTACTATGTCATTAAAACATTTGTGTGTTTTTATATTTACGTGTTTTTTTATTTAGGGCCCCTTTATAACATATGCTACAGGCTCCGCACTAGCTTAATCCGGCACTGCTGTCAACCTATCATATATTTTCTGTGATAACGGCAAATACGGTGTGGGTTTTTTTTTGCCTTTGTTATTTCGCACCACTGGCAACTCGCTCCTTGCTGCTCAGGGGGCTACAAATGCCGTGCCCCAGTGCAGAGCCAGCGCTGCTCGGGTCTGGGTTAGAACTTTGTGTTTTTCAGTTGCCCGTGATTAACCCGAATTCTCAAGGAGTAACGAGGTGATGGTCTCAGTCTTTTAGGCAACGGCGACACGTAAAACGCTACGTTTGTTTTCTGATTCATTCTGCTTATTTTTTTTAGCAATTGGGGCTAAAGTGGTTTTAATGCCGTATGACACACGCCTGTATGGGAATGCCAATGTGTGGGTGTGCACCATCCTGATGTGCTTTTAGGGACATGTAGGAGGTCTTAGAAGTGGTTGTGCGATGCCATATTCAAGAGTGGGATTGATTGCACATTTTTATGTTGTTCAATATGAATATATTTTTCTCATAAGGTGACAATTTTAATTAACACAGTGACTGTGGGAAATTGGAAGGTGCTACTCACAACACTACTCATATCGCTTGTATTTCAGATACAGTACTTAGCTAGGCGCTGTATCACACACGAAACTTTAACATTCGTCCATCATATCAATATTCATCTACTGGACATCTGTAAAAAAGAGCTTCATAACTCATCGGATTTCTCCAGGATAAATAAAGATTCTGATTCAGAATTCCTCAAGCATTTCTTTACTTAACACAGTACACATATTGGAATGATAATCTTAAAAATACTACTGTAAAGAGGACTTTTCATATCGAAATATCATAAAGCACTGTTTGCACAAAAAACACGTACAGGTTTCTCTCGCTTTATGCAGTAGATGTGTTCCAAAAAACGTGGCGCAAAAAGGCTAAATAAGAACTCCACTCACAATTAGCGCTTACAAGACACACAATCGTGTCCAACCGGATAGCCGCGCTTGAGTGAATTAAAACCGCATATAGCGAATATAGTGAATGTTGGGTAGAAATAGGTGAGCCATATTAACGCGAAATCGCACAAGCCGAACCCGCATAGAGCGAGACCTGTATCGATAACAAACCAATCAACATAGAGTAAAAGCCGATCAAAAGAATAACAATAATTTTGATTTAACAATGTAATAATAACAATACATGTGATTTAACAATAATGACAACTACAATCTCGCTGTTGGTAGAATGCAGACAGACGACGATTCAGGCCAAGTATAATAATGACACTCGCAGTCTAGGTTAATTCCAAAGGACCGTCCATAAATGACGTCACGCACCTGGGGGGGGGGTCGGTCAGACATTTGTGACGATGTGTGACGAGGGGGGGGAGGGGTGAGAAATGTACGTCACACCAAAATGCGCAACTTTAAATAAACATAGAATTGTTATAACAACACTAATTGTTGTAACAACACTCCTACAACATTAGAGTGCAGCGCCACATTAAATACGCACTACAATGACAATAGTTTAAAGCGACTTGAAGCATGTTCTATTTTAAAAATGGAAAAATGTTTTTTTATTTTGGGGGGGGGGGCAGAGCTTTGTGACGTCATATTTGAGGGGGATCTGACTTTTTGTGACGCCGTGTGACGAGAGGGGGGGGGGGGTCAAAAATCTTCCAAAATCGCGTGACGTCATTTATGGACGGCCCCCAATCGGACTACATCTTATTGTGCGCAGGGTCATCTCGGGCCAGAGGCCGTACTGGTGGGTGCTCGAGACGCAGTACTACGGGGACGCCGCTCCTCCTCATCTCAACCAGTACCCCATCACCTGCGAGACCGGCCCAGGTATGTGTGGGAGGGGGGGGCACCTGCTACCTGCACGAGGACGCCACACCGGGAGAAGCGATAGAAAATTCTCGAAGACTCCCTGGGTGTGGTGTGCATGTATGTGTGTGCTGGACGTCTTTTGCACCGTGCGTAGACAAACGTGCTAGGTGCGGGGGATGATGCACAGTTCAATTCCTGGCCCATAAAAAAAAAAACCTCATCAGAAGGCACGTGGTGTTTAAACTCGCCCTATGTATACCCTGAACGTGTCTGATCCTCGCCACTGGTGAGACAAAAGCACGTGTGGCGCTAGCTTCAACAACCCTCGTGTGCCATGCTGGCCGTAATAAATTCTCAATTGTAATTGGTTTCCGTGATGTATATGATGGTGTGGGTGCGTTTGCGACATTTCCAAGACGATTCATAAAGCAGACACGAGCTGAACCCGTGTTGGGTTGGTTCGGCCACGCTGCTGCGTGAATCCGGGATGAGCCCACGATTGTCGGATTTCCAAACAAAGCCGGCCTGCTGCAAAGTGCCCGCGGGAACGCGAACGTGCGCGTGTCTTCGTGCCGTGGTTACAGGTACACCATCCGGACACGCAATGGGCTCTGCGTGCGTGTGGTACGTGATGGTGACGGCCGCTCTGGAGAGCGACCTGTGCACCAAGCGGAAACCCTTCTCGGATCACAGGCGGTGCGTGGATAACAGTATTACATTTGACGCCGTGACCTCGAAGCGCGCGCCTCCCTCCCCCAAAGCACGGGGCTCTGGGCGGTCGCCCCAATGATTCGCCGTAGCCCAGGGACGGCTCTGTGTGCAGCGATACTTCACTGCTGAGTAAGGCTTATTGTTTGGTGTCTATCGCCCCGCAGGCTGTGTCGCGTTGCCCTCTGGCTGCTCTTCTGGTTCATCCAGATCAACGTGTGCGTCTCCAGGGTGTTCGTTGCCACGCACTTCCCGCACCAAGTCATCCTCGGACTGCTGGGCGGTAATGTTTTCGGCGTTTGCCCGCTGCTTTCAAATCGAAGCACCAGGGAAGAACAGCGCAAAAAGGAAGCGAATATCCTACAACCTAAGTCTTTCGCTCGATACAAAAATAACAACAACATTTACAAAAAAATACTATTGGCCAAATCATATTCTTTGGTTATTTCGGTAAAGCCACGTTTTCAGGTGAAGACGGGCGCTTGTGTTGCGTCCGAAACGTCGTGATTTATTTTGTTTTATTTTTCTACCTACGTGACTTTACCGAAAGAACCAAAGAGTATGGACTCCTGCAGTCACGAAAGCTTAAAATCAAGATTATTGGCCAAACCATTTAAGCAAGGCTCTTATCGGCAAGTATTGAAACTCCACTGTCATAGCCATTATTAATGAGTTGGTATTATTCCCATTCAAAAGAGACGGAGTTATTATGATCAGTGGCATGGCTATTGGTAGTGGCCGGTTGACTAATTGCTTGTGGGGTCGAGCTGTTTATATATTCACTGGATGGTAAACTGTTTGAGGTCAGCGGTAGGACTAGCATTCGATTAGCTGGGGGTGCTTCACCCACAAAATGTTTGCGTCTTCCTCACCGCTAGAACGATACACTTTTAAATAATCTCGATTGAAAACGTATTTCTTTAGAACTGCATTTTCTATTTAGTTGTGTCGTCCCCCCCCCGCGCCTCCGATTAGCGCGTTTGGCTACGTACGGTGCGAAAGAAGTTCCACATACACACATCTATCAATACACCCTCCGGCAGAGCTCGACATTGCAAGACCCCGCGGCCTCTGACGCGTGAAACACACGCCCCCACCATCATCACCATCATCATCACCATCATCATCACCATCATCATTACCATCATCATCACCATCATCACCACCATCATCATTACCATCATCACCATCATCACTCCCATCATCACACCATCACATAACATCATCATACCATCATCCACCATCATCAGCCCATCATCAATCACCATCATCACTCACCATCATCACCACCATCATCACCACATCATCATCACCATCAATCACCAGCATTATCACCATGCATCAACCACCATCATCATCACCATCATCACCACCACTCATCATCACCACCATCACTCACCACCATCATCATCACCACCATCATTATCACCATCATCACCACCATCATTCTCACCATCATCATCACCATCATCACCACCATCATCATCACCATCATCACCACCATCATCACCACCATCATTATCACCATCATTATCACCACCAATCATCACCACCATCATCACCACCATCATCACCACCATCATCACCACCATCATCATCACCATCATCACCATCATCGTCGTGCTGCTGTCAAACCCCAACGATGGTTTCAAATCGGTGTGCATGGCGTAATCTCACACTGATGATGTCTTATCGGCGAAAGTGACCGACCCTCCACCCCCTCTATGAAAATGAGCTTCGAAGCACGCAGCGGTGTGGCGCATATGCCACGTTTGTTTGCGACGATGATGATGAAACTGTAATTATTGCCGATGACTTCGAATCAAAGTGGCCGCGGAGCAATTGCTGCCGCAGCAATAAAACTGTGTTAAAAGTCTAAAGTCTCTGAAAACGTAAATTTCGATTTAAAGCTTTCGTGACTGCAGGGATTCATCTTCTTGGTTATTTCGGTCAAGTCACGTAGAATGGAAATAATAAAATAATAAAAATAAAACATAATAAAATAATTCTCACGACGTCTGCTTGCGTTGTGGCCGAAACATCGTGAGAATAGTTTTATTATGTTTTATTTTTATTATTTTATTATTTCCATTCTACATGATGACTTGACCGAAAGAACCAAGAAGATGAATCTCTGAAAACGAGTAAAGAACATTGCTCCACGGCCTTTCTCACTCGTCGCCCACCGCTCCTCGGCGGCGTTGACTTAGGCCCCCTTCCCCCTCGCAGGAATCCTCGTTGCCGAGGCGTTCGGCCGCGTGCGCCTCATCCACGGCGCGCGGCTGCACGCGCACGCCGCCCTCTGCGCGCTGCTCCTGCTGGTGGCCATCCTCGTTCACGACGGCGCCGCGCGCCTCGCCCACGTCGACCTCGACTGGTCGGTGGAGCTCGCGCGCAAGCGCTGCCTCCGCGCCGAGTGGGTCCACGTGGACACGACCCCCTTCGCCGGTCTGGCCCGGGGGCTGGGCGCGCTCTTCGGCCTGGGGTTGGGTCTCCACGTGCGCGACCGCTTCGTAACGGGAGCCTCCTCCGAGGTTGGCGATGAGAAGGAGGAGGAGAGGGTGGCGGCGGCATCGCCGGCGTTTCAAGGCTGCTGCATTGCCGCGTCACTGCTGGCCGTGCACGTCCTCGAGTGGATCGTCCCCATGCCCCAGAGGGCCGGTGGTCTCTTTTACTTTGTGGCCTTCTGCCGCAGCGTCCTGGGGCCCGTCGCCGTGGTGGCCGCGACGCCCTACTGCGTGCGCATGCTGGTCGAGCCATTGGCCAAAGTGAAGGGGTCCTGATGGCCCAGGGGATGAGGACCGGCCTTGTGTCTGATCGACTTGAATCGTAGCTCTTTTTCGTCGTTTTTTGTTTTTTTATAACGTCATCTTCTATATATGCGCACCTTAAGGTAGGATGTCTGTGAAGGAGGTTTTCAAGCGAGGGGTGCTGCTTTCATGCGTTGAGCGTAACCGTGTAATGGTCACGTGGATGATCGTTTTAGTTCTCGTAGTGTGGAAATTGATTGTAGTTGTGATTTGCACATTGCGCGCGTTATTTTAAATGCCTTGCAGATGTCCTCTGCACCATTTTGTCATATGTTATTGTTACATTTTCGTAATCCAGGTCTGCCTTAAAAAAAATAGACGTCTTGTCTCCAAGGGCTCTCACTTGATTCAACGTGAAAGGCTACCGAGCCGCTGCATGTATATGTTAATATTAAAAAAAACAATATTCCGCTTGCGCCTACACAATTGCCACAGTCGTTGTTGATCTTCTTGGTTCTTTCGGTAAAGTCACGTAGAAGGAAAATAATAAAATAATAAAAATAAAACATAATAAAATAATTCTCACGACGTTTCGGCCACAACGCAAGCAGCCATCTTCAGGTGGAGAACAGGTCTGTCGAGACTCTGCCTTCTCGACAGACCTGTTCTCCACCTGAAGACGGCTGCTTGCGTTGTGGCCGAAACGTCGTGAGAATTATTTTATAATGTTTTATTTTTATTATTTTATTATTTTCCTTCTACGTGACTTTACCGAAAGAACCAAGAAGATGAATCCATGCAGTCACGAAAGCTTTAAATCGAAAGTCGTTGTTGAGTTTCGTGGGGTCATGATGAATGCACTCTTAAGGGTTCTACGCAGCTTGGCCCAATAACACAATCACAACCTCCCCTGCGGGTTCAACTACAGTGTCCACCGCCCAGACAGACGTTGACATTTCTCACTGCATGGAGTCGATGGCAAGACCTCTCATGCACAGGGATGGCTTGATCAGACTCTACTTCGAGGACACGGCAGTCTAATCTCGGGTTTCCCAAGCCCAGGTAGACATCATGATAATTTCAACTTGTAACGCGTCGCAGGGAACAACTCAAAGGCGCGAGGAGACAGGCAACGAGGAAGGGCAGCAGCCGCGCAATGAGCCGGCACCAACAATTGCCCAAACTCTGCGATCCTCTATGTCAATGCGATTTGGGCCAGTTAATGAGTGTTTACACGACATATACACGTGGCTGTATTTAATACTTGGCAGTGGCTGGATAAAAGCTTCCACCACCAGACGGTTAGGGGAGCCGATCTGTGTCTGCCACCAGAATTGGTGTTAGTTTGTTGTTACGTCTACTGGTCTCCCGGCTCCAACGAGCAATGGAACAGAGCTTTGTTCCATAGATGCCCCCGAGACAGCCATGGAAAGTCCACATTTTATAGCCTCGTTCTGTTGAATAAAAAAAACTGTAAATTGTTGACCTCACAGTTATGATGGCCCCAAGTCAACTCCAAACCAGATTTTTGTACACACATTGCAATGTATTACAATCATAAGTCAAGCCATTTTCACGTGTCATTTGCAACTCGAGAAGATGCTGGATGTAATTACAAGCGAAACGTCGTACTCAAAAATTGTAAATGTTGTGGATTCACTCTTCAACACACCGTTGGGCTAAAGTAGTGAACTATTTGTCTCTTGTCAACAGTGACACTTTTTTACTGATTGGCCGTGTCGGGTGGTGGAGGGTTACGACACATTTATAAATAACGCGATCTAACCCAAAAACGTTATTATGAATAATATTGGTCGCGAAAGCCGACGTGTTAAAGTGAATGTTGTTGTCTGTTTATGTATATCTTTGCACATGTACGTACACACAGGCAAATGCATCATTGGTGGCTGTAATGCAAACATAATACGTAATAAAATTGCTCTGAGGTGGGCCAAAAAGCACGGTCTTGCGACATTGCTTCGATACCGTCAATAGAGATGCGCACCATCCTGTGCTTGAGAGGCGATAGACACGTGTTGTGTATGTGTGTATGTGTGTTGAACTTCTTTCGTACCGTACGTAGCCAACCGTGCTAATCGGCAGGCTAACGTTGAGTGCGAGCGTTGTGTTAACCTCCTTCCCACTGATGAAGCTTCAGGAGCCATACACTGCACTGGACGTCTCTGACAAAGCGCTTCACAGCTCTTCGGATTTCTCCGGGACAAATAAAGATTCTGATTCACAAATTATGACAGCCATCAGCGCCGTCATCATCACGACTCGCCACTGTCAACCCCCGGGGTCACCACGGGATCAGGCGATGCCCATGTCCGTTGGACGACAACAATTCTCCATGCCTTCCTGTCCACCCACATTTTATCTGTTTATACTCTCAATTTTTGCGCTCTCTATCCTGAATCCTGCATGTAGTGTGGTGTAGAAGGTGTATATCCAGCGCCGGCAGGCACATTCCAAAACGAGGTTCGTTGTGCACGTTCTATCTGTAACTCACAACAGAATTCTCATTCATAATAAAGGTTTTGGGTTAGATCGCGTTATTTATAAATGTGTCGTAACCCTCCACCACCCGACACGGCCAATCAGCACAAAAAGTGTCACGTTTGTCAACGTGACACTTTTTTGAGAGCGCAGAAATTGAGTGTCACGTTTGTGAACGTGACACTTTTTTGCTGATTGGCCGTGTCGGTGGTGGACGGTTGTGACACATTTATAAATAACGCGATCTAACCCAAAAACGTTTATTATGAATAATATTGGTGGCGAAAGCCTCACACGTGTTAAACACAATTCTCATCATCATCGTCATCAGGCTTAGTATGATCGGTAGAAGCGATAATGCATCGCCGCAGCTTCCTGCCCACCTCTTCTAGCTCTGGGCGTCGACAGCCCCTTTGTAGAGCACGAGCTGACACGATTACCCAAGCACACCCCGGGTAACAAGGAATCCCCTCTCCCATCAACGAGGTGATCATTGTAATCGTTCCCACAGGCAGATGAGATGCACCTGCTTCCAAACAGTCAATCCCACTCGATGCCGTGTGGGTGGGCTTCACACAAGCCACGCGACTTGGACTTCCCGAAATACAGAGCCAAGTTAGGGGCCGGACATAAATGACGTCACGCGATTATGGACGATTTTTGACTCCCCCCCCCCCCATCGTCACACGGCGTCACAAAAAGTCAGACCCCCCCTCCTCAAATTTGACGTCACAAAGCTCTGCCCCCCCCCAAAAAAAATAAAACATGCTTCAAATCGCTTTAAACTATTGTTCTTATAATGTGTATTTAATGTGGCGCTGCACACTGATGTTGTAGGAGAAAACATTTATTACAAAGTCTATTTAATTAAGTAGAACGTGTTGTCTATATTTATTTAAAGTTGCGCACCATTGAGGTGACGTCACATTTCTCAACCCCCCCCCCTCGTCTCACATCGTCACAAATGTCTGACCCCCTCCGCCCACAAGGTGCGTGACGTCATTTATGGACGGCCCCTTATGCTGCCCAGCGGGCCGGGTCGAACACAGCAGGCAACCCACCCCGGTTGTACTTGGCCTACTTTTTAGACTGTTTCCCCCCTCTCGATCCCCAAATCAAAATGAAACCATCTTGGCGAAATTTTTTTCCTCCAACAACTTTGCTGGTGAACGTACCCTGCTCTTTGGTTCTTTCGGTAAAGTCACGTAGATGAAAAATACAAAAAAAAATGAAAATAACTACATTAAATCATTAAATCGCTTGTCACAAATATCTCTCTCTATTCACTACAATTAATTTTCCTGTGGCTGTTCCACCTGATGACGGAAGCTCGTGTTGCCTTCGAAACGTCGTGATTTAATTTAGTTATTTTAATATCATTATTTTTATTATTATTTGTATTTTTCATCTACGTGACTTTACCGAAAGCACCAAAGAGTATGGATCCTTGCAGTCACGAAAACTCCAAATCTATAATTCACCGTACCCTTCCTCGCACGAGCCCTCGGCTGCGGTGTGCCACGTTCCATCGAGCGCGATTGAGATGATTCTGGAGGCCGAGGGGCCTTGGAGACGTTCGTGACGAGGCTCAGGATTCTTTGCTCTCCACGTGGTGGTGCTGTTTCCACGTGAAAGTGGAACTTGCTGAACCCACGGCGGGCAGGCCCACACCGAGCAATGGGACTTGAAGCGCTGTGCAGGGTGGTCCAGACGTCTCGCGGCTCCCATTGAACTCCCTACAACGAAATGTTTTTCCTCTACCGATGGGTGTGAAAACAGAAATGAATGAGCAGAAAGGGGAGAGAAACAACGTTAGGGGTAAATTAATGGGGGGGGGGGGGGATCACAAGACATCTGGAACCACCCTCTGCTAGCAACAAAGTACAGGGGTTGTGAACAAACACACCATTAGAATACTGTACGATAGAAAAAGCTCTTCTAAAAAAAGGTGCATTGCCCGAAACGACGGGCCTGTTAGTACCGTAATAGTGGTATGTTAAAAGTGCGTGTGTCAATAACGAATGTGGTGAGGTTTTTTTTGAGTGATGGTGTGATCGTAACGCGGGCGTGTATTTGTTGAGTCTGGAATGACTCACGTCTGTCCACGTATAGAAGCCACATTGTGGAGTTAAAATAATAGCAGGCGTCAGCTGGCGGAGATTCCACAGTCACCGATTAAAGAAGAAGGGCCGACTCTGCCACGCACACGCCTCTGCCATCACACGCAACATATATCTTAGGGTCCGTCCATAAATGACGTCACGCACCTGGGGAGAGGGGGGGGGGGTCAGACATTTGTGACGATGTGTGACGAGGGGGGGAGGGGTTGAGAAGTGTGACGTCACATCAAAATGCGCAACTTTAAATAAATATAGACAACACGTTCTACTTAATAAATAGACTTTTTAATAAATGTTTTTTCCTACAACGTCAGAGTGCAGCGCCACATAATATACGCACTACAATGACAATAGTTTAAAGCGATTTTAAGCATGTTTTATTTTGGGGGGAGGGGGGGGCAGAGCTTTGTGACGTCATATTTGAGGGGGGGTCTGACTTTTTGTGACGCCGTGTGACGATGGGGGAGGGGGGGGGGTAAAAAATCGTCCAAAATCGCGTGACGTAATTTATGTCCGGCCCCTTATACAACTCATGAGCCGCGCGACCCTCGGCTGGGAGCGCATCATTTCAGCAGCCAACTCCGCGGCGGCTTCGACGCACTAGTGGCTCATCAGCACCGCCTGGCCCACCCTAATCAACAGCGGTGAACTGCCGATCTCATTCGCAAGGACCTCCCCCACTTACATTATCATGGGGCTCTCAGTTCAACGCAAAAGTCACGTAACGTAATAGGTGACATATTTCTGCAATGCATAACTGTAGTAGGATTCATATTCTTGGTTCTTTCGGTAAAGTCACGTAGAAGGGAAATAATAAAATAGCAAAAATAAAACATAATATTTTTTATTATTTTATTATTTCCCTTCTACGTGACTTTACCGAAAAAAACAAGAATATGAATCCCTGCAGTCACGAAAGCTTTAAATCGAAATGTAATAGGGTTTGTTCGGATTCCACACTTCAGGTGGCCATTTGGACACTTTT